AGATTTCAAGATTTAAGTTGGTCATGAGAAAGTTTATGTTATGTTGGAAAACATAGTTAGTGATGTTAATAATGTTGCAAAGTATGTGCTTAAAGTATCAAAAGAAAAGTTTCTAATGATAAAAATAGTTGGTGGTAGAATCAAAATGTGTAAGAAAAGAAAAAAGAATAATAAGCTTTATTATAAAAATTGGTTTATGTATAAAAGCTTAGAAAATTGGGAAAGTTATAGAGGGACCTGTAGGGACTCTAAAATAGCAATATGTTATGCAAATAATTTAACTTTTAGTGATTTATAGAATAAATTATATACTAAGGAGGTCAAAAGATGTATATATAAGTTAGCCAAACAAAGAGATAAAATAAGTAAAAAGCTAGTTCAAGTGAAGTGCATTAAATATGAAAATTAAAAAGTGCTCTTCGTAGAAGGCAATATTCAGGTGTATGATATTTTTCGATAAGCTTTTCAATGAAGATTGTGAGAATAACATTGAATTTTGATCTTAAATGAAAATAGAGATTTTTCTTTTTATCATCGTTTTAGTAAAATCAAAGTTGGAGAGGCTTTAAAGAAAATGAAGTGTGGAAAGTAGTGAGACTTGATGATAATTCCAATAGATGTGTGTAAATGTTTAGGAGATAAATGTATTTCTTGGCTTACTAAACTTTTTAATATTATTTTGAAGGATAAAAATATGTCAGATGAGTGGAGGGGTGTGTTGGTTCCTATTTTTAAGAATAAAGGTGATGCACAAAAGTTTTTGAATTATAGAAGAATTAAGGCTTTGTTTGGGATGACTTTCTTACTGCTTCTTAAAATAACTTTCTAGTACAAAAAAATTTTAAGTAGTAAGAAAGCCGTTCCAAACGAAGCCTAAGTTAATATGTCTTACATCAAAAGTATGGAAGAGTACATGAGCATAGGTTACGATGTATACTAAATTACTAATGTTTCTCAAAATTAATTTTGATTCATGCTGGATAGATCTACTATGGAAGCTTTACATTTGTTGAGAGGTTTGCTAGAGGAGTATAGAGAGAGTAAGGAGGATTTTTATTTTATATTTATTAATTTAGAGAAAATATATGATAAAGTTCTAAGAGAAGTGCTTTGGAGAGTTCTAGAAAAGAAAGGAGTTGATAATTATTATATTCAAGTCAGTAAGGATATGCATGCAAGAGCTGCTATTTGTGTTTGATACGGCATCACAAAATTAGCTTGATCGGGCACGAATTTCGAGGCAAAAGCTAGTTGGAAACTTCAAAAATTAAATCCGGAAGCACCCGAACTTCGATTTCAGCGAGCTTACAGTCAAACTGAGCGTCTCGGAAATACGAACCCAACGACACCAAGTTCAACCCAATTCGAGCCCAAATGAGTCTGAATCAAGGACCCGAAGCGCTGTTGGAAGATTCAAACCGCAATTTGAGTTACCAAACGGTCTCCGATTTTAACGAGCTTATACTCGAATCGAGCGGCTCGACGAGACGAATCCAACGAGCCCAAGATCGCCGAATTCCGACATCATTAAGGCCTTCAAATATCCAACGAACGGTGCACGATCGAAGGGTTCAATATCGGCCATCCATTCAAACCACTCCCTATTTGCCCATGATCTCACACCTATTTACGAGCCATGCCACTCTAGAAAAACTATAAATAGAGCCCTCATTCTTCACAAAAGGAACTCAAGTGAAGAGAGAGAAGAAGAGGAGAAGAAGAAGGAAAAAGGGAAAAGGCGAATCCTCTCCTCCTCGACTACCGTCGGAGCTCTTCCCGCCGCCTCAATACGTCGAAACTCTGCCGGATTTTCGGGAAACGACGGGATTCTGCAAAACTTTGTAAATTTGCTTCAAGTTGTAATCTGATCGTCCCGATTTGTGGGACGAATCAGTTTCTTGTAATTTACAAAAACGCTAGTGGAATTTTACAACTGGGCGAGGCCCCGTGGTTTTTACCCTTTTTGGGTTTTCCACGTATAAATCCCGGTGTTCTTTCATTTTCTTGTTTGTGTGTTAAATATACGTGTAACGCTCGGACGCGAATTTACAAACTCTACCGCCGCGTATTTTCTAGCACGCAACAGTGTTTAAACACTAGGTGGTTTAACCGGGGATTTTTTTTTATTTCAGTTGGATTAAACCAAGGATCATCTTTAAGCCCATATATATTTTTTTGGGTCATGGATGTTCTTACTAGACATTTGTAAGAGGATGTACCTTAGTGTATGCTTTTTAATAATGATATTCTTCTTGTTGATAAGAGTAGAGAAGGAGTTGATAGAATACTTGATTTATGGAGGTCAATTTTAGAGTCTAAAATTTTTTGTTTGAGTAGATTTAAAACCTTATACATAGTGTAAATTTAGTAGTAAGAGATCTAGTTGTGAGATTGTGATTTTGGATGATTAAGTCATTAAAAGAAGTGCACGTTTTAGATATCTTTGGTCTATTTTTCAAAGTGATGGTGAAATTGATGCATATTATTAGTAGAATTCAAGTTGGATACTTGAAGTGGGCGAATGCCGTGGGCCTACTTTCTGAGACAAAAGTATCTCTCAAACTTAAGGAAAAATTTTATAAGATGGTGATGAGACCTATAATGCTTTATGGCTCAGAATGTGGGCCATTAAAAGAGATGCATAAAATTAAGCATTGCAGAGATGTGAATGCTCAGGTGGATGAGTGGTTTTACACTTAGAGATAGAATACAAACAAGTATATATTTGAAAAGGTTGGAGTAGCTCTAGTGGAAGATAAGATTAGAGAGAGTCGTCTTAAATGGTTTGGTCACATAAAACGTCGACCTTCTGATGTCCCGGTTAGAGGAGTATATGTATTAGATCTGACTTATATTAATAAAGATAACAGTAGACCTAAAAATATTTGCTAACATATATTCGACAGTGCTGCTTTGTAAAGTAGGCAGCCATTTATATTAGCGCTTCAGTAAAATCCTCTGGAACTGTTTTGGATATTTCGATAGGGTCTATCCCATTTGGATGAGCGTTTTATTCACTTTTTAATATCATGAATTCTTGAGTCTTTGGGGAAGACAAGATGGAACTTGATGAAGGGGGCAGCTGAGCTAGAAAATTTCAATATAAATTTTTGAGGATTAGCATTATTCTCACTGAAGTTTAACTTTTAGAAAATCATTCCCACTTTTAGAAATACCACATCTAAACCTAAATGTGAATCACTTTAGTTGCTGTATTTTTGGCATCTGATGCAATATTCATTGTTTATAATTGATTTTATAGAAGGGAAACTTGGATTTCAAGTTGCATCATGAATCATAAATGAGTTTATAGATAGCATAAATGCAATCAATGTATTTTGAGAGAAAAGTTTGCAGTCAACTGTGAAATAATCTTGTACCCAACTTTTAGGGGACATGATGATCAATTTTGCATTTGAAAAGATGTTTTTAATCTATATTACTATTAAAAATTTGCTTGAATTGCTTTCAAGCAACAATCTAGGGCATTCTTTTGTAATTTTGATCTAAACTGTTGATACTTTCCCTGGCACATCAATATGCAATTTAGCCAACTAATTAATCCCAACTGCATGTCGAACATTTCAGGGACTTTGTAGATGTAGGCATACTAATTCATATAATAACTAACCCAATGAATTTGTACTTTATATATATATATATATATCTAAGAGAGAGAGAGATATATATATTAAAAAATACATCAAAAACTTCAAGCTATGTTCTTGGTACATGTGCATTCTTGCTAGTTGAACTAAATTACAATAACATGTTTTGCACCTTGTTGTTTTGATCTACCAATTCTTTCAATTGCGTGTGATTTCTTTTTTTGAACAATTTTAGTGTAAAATTCATAAAATAAAATGCTTTAGGTGTACTGAATCCACCAATTATGTCGATGATATTAGCACTTTAGTTAATTTAAGCATGTCAGTTTTTAAGCCATGTTTTCCAAAATGGTGCTAATGGTGAAATTGTTTATTTGGGGCAGTTTTCCATCTAGGTGAACTTGCAATCTCATCTTTTTTATTTTTTTAATCTTTCTCGCATTGACTGAACCATTGAAACTTTTATTTCATATATGAGTGAAAATGATCTGCTCTAGGCATCTATAACTATGCTTTGTACGTGAAGGTTACTGGCTCAATTTTGTTTTTTATGGCTGGCTTGTTTGATAAACTACATCAACCGACATCTCCACTGCTACTTTCCTTCCCCTCTAGTGTTTGTTCCACCTCCTTGAGAGTTTCCTACCTCCTTTTCCTTCAACATCTCCTGCTCTTCTCCTCCATGCCAGTGGACCAGTCTCAAGCGTGAATTCAGGATTGACTGAAGTTTGCTGCTATCCTGCTTGACAAGTTGACTTCAAGGATTTCTTTTGCTCATCGCAGCTCATTGTTTTCCTTATTTGTTTTTAAAGTGAGTACTCAAAAGATTGGCATCATCTTGGTAGGCATATTTTTCATAATCTTATTCCAATTGATTTTTGAAAGATCTGATATCTTCAGGCTAAATGTTGTTTATCGCTTTTTCCATCTTTCAATGTCAATAATAATAATAAAAAAAAAGTATTTTCAAAAGAAAGAACTTGTTACATTTCATTCACTTTTTAAGGATCCAGTTTTCCTATTCTCTTCATTAAGCACTTTTTCGACTTCTAACTAACCATGCTTTTCCCAGCTTGCAAAATAACTATTTGGGGCTCATGGAGGATGTTAGAGTTATAAAAAAATTGGAGCTTTTCCCAGCTTCCAAAATAACTATTTGGGGTCCATGAAGGATTTCAGAGTTGTAAATAAAATTGGAGTTTTCCCAGCTTGCATCCTTTATTATATTTGAGTTAACTTTAAAGATGTCATCGGATGATTTGCATAACAAATTTGTCCAATTCGCATTCTGTTGTTTCTATTATATCTAAATGTACCGTTCTTTATCATGACAAAGCTTGGTTCTGTCTTATTGTCTCTGTTTTTTTTTTTTTCCTGTTTTGATAATGGCAGGAAGCAATGCAGCATCTAAGCCAGAAGAAGTAAAACGTCTTCCTGGCGGTAAGATAAAGAAAAAGGTAAGACTATAGATTCTGCTGCATTTGCTTGTTTATGAACTTGGAGTTGGTCACCTCTGAATCCATTTTAATACTCAAATTCCTTCTACCACTTTCAATGCAAGTCATACTTCCCTTAAACCAGAAGGCATATTGGTTGTTATGATATTTCTTGCATTTTAATTGCAGCTGATCAGCTGTATTTTAACCTCTGTTTAAACTTTTTAAATGTGTTCGAGTTAACCGCCAGCATTTGTTGCTTTATTTCCTTTTGAGCCTCAGAAATATTTTCTTTGAAGGACCTGTAGAAGCCTTCCGGTCAAATGTTACCCTTTGTGGCTTTGTAATTTGTTTGAAGAGAAATGTGCTCTTGAGAATGTCCTTATTTGCAGTTCATTTTATAAGGCTAATTGATGCATGACGTCTTAAGGTCTAGGGTTCAACATTAATATAGTCTGGAATGAGATGTGCAAGAAGACAATTTTTTTTGCAGCTTTCTAGCTTTTAATTTTGGCAAATATTAGTCTCTTTTGATTCAAAAATAAAAATTTGTTTAATTTGCTCCGTGTGATGCATTAATTTTTTCTAAAATAGAATTTTTTTAGGAAATCTAAGAACAAATGTAAAACTCCACTGCAACTAAGATTCACACAGAAAAAATTGTCGTGTAACTAACTTGTTCAAATCCTAAACACGCTCCCAAATCAATAAGTAAAAAGAAAAGAGAGAAAGATGAATGAGATCATCAAAGTGTTAATCCAGCCCTCATATTGGTACAAGAAGAGGTTGTCAAGACTTGTAATACATTTGAAGAATTTTCATCCATTAAGACACAAACATGGAGATGAATACATGTATTTTATTCAGCTATTCATTGAAAATTATATGCCTTTGGATTCGTATTTATTACTCAAGAAGATACAAAATCAGCAACTTATAATCCTCAAAGATCCAGACAAATACTAAAATTTCTGTTCATCAAAATGGTTTCTAGCAAGAAATGATATGTTTCCAATCTCAGTTTCAGCAAAACAGCAAACTTTCAATTTCCAAATACCCTTTCTAGCAATGTTAGATCTTTGCTACTGTAAAATGCTGCATAGATGGAATCTGCAGTAGCTTAACATCACCTGTAACTGAGCAGTGGAGATTTTAAATCAGTGGCATCCTCGAAACGAACAATATTCCTAAATCGAAGCACCGAATTTCAATAACAGTGCCAAAGTGGCCTTTCATGCATTCAGTACATAAACCAAACTGAAAAATAGGGGATACATCAAATCTCGTGAGCTAGCAATCTCACAACTAGGAACCCGTTAAGGCATTAAAACCTCTCAGTGGCATATTAGGAAATCAACAATATAGCTAATGTTGAATTCGAGTAGAGAATACCCCAGCTTATAACCAAATTAAATGTTCAAGAACAACAAGGCCCAAATGCCAGTGTCAGAAGGCAAAATTCAATCGGTAGCTTTAATTAGTAATCAAGTGGCTCGATGAACTTTGAAAAATGATCACAAGTAGGGGTGTCAGTATTTGACACGACCTGAAAACCTGACCCGAACCCGTCATAGAGATTTTGAGTCAGGTAGACATTAGTTTTTTTGACCAGTTTCAAAAATCGGGTTGGGTTTGGGTTGACTTGGAAACCTGGGAATAAACCGAATTGACTCGTTGCAAGTGCGACCGAGCTGCCCCATGACTGCAGCTGACCGTGTGACCGAGCTGTTTGCATGACCGAACTATCCCCGTGACTGCCGTTAACCAATCGCTGCCCGAGGCCAATCATGCTTTGCAAGACTCGTGACTTGCGCGTCGCCTGCCCGCCGCGCTGCGGCGCTAACCCACCTGCCCCCTGCGTCGTGTCCCCTTCTGGCACCGGCTGCCGGCAAGTCGCTGCTGTCGAGCAGAAGCTGTTGGCATTGCCGTCTCCGTGGGTCTGGTCGGGTCGGGTTAACCCGAACCCGAAGTAGGCTGATTCAGATCCGAAAAAATGACCCGTTTGCAAAAATAGATCGGGTTCAGGTTGACCCGAGCAGTGTCAGGTCAATTCTGGGTTTGATCCGAACCCGACCCGTGACTCGAAATTGAGACCCCTAATCACAAGTATAGCAGCAGGAAAAGAAAACACAGGACGCAACAGGAATAGACAGCAGAACAAAACAAAGAACCAATGGCTTCCATAGAGAACCAAATTATAGAAGAAACCACAAGTAGTTCTCAGTAAGGCATCATCATATATTTTCGAAGTTAGAAAAACTAAGAAAATAAAATAAACTAAAATAAATGTTGCTGAAACAATCAACTTGCTCGTCTCAGCACACAATTTTTTTATTACAGACAAGTATAGACTTTCAAATTTACATCAATAATTTCTTAAAGCAAATGTATGTACTGACTCTTGTTGTTTAAGCTGACTATTATCTCTCAGCTGATTGATGTGTTGCAGTTAATATTTCTTTCACTTGTTGTTCAATGACGCACTTTTCAAGGAATTTGTTCTCTCATATGTTTTTCTGCTTAAGAGGTCTTGTTTGGTTTGATGTGATGAGCATGTGAACTTTTGGAGGTAACACATTGAGCTTAAATAGAGAAGTGTGTTAAGAGTAATGATGATAAGAGAAATATGTTGGATACTTCTATATAAATTATTGAGACCAACTATACTACATGAATTGGGCTTCAGAAAAGTCAATGACAACAAAGTTGAGTGTGGTAGAAATAAGAAATGTAAAAGTGTGGTGAAAGTAGGAAAGATGAATTAATAAATGATTATGTTTTAGATGATGTGACTTGAGAGTAAGACATTGATATTAAGGTAGTCGAAATTTAATTTTGGTGGTTTGGGCATGTAGAGCTGATGGTAGAAAATGAATGATAGAGTTATTGTAAAATGCTTGAAATGAAAGACATATCAAAGGCTACATTAGTAAATTTAAAAATAAAAAGTCCAAAATTAATTAAACATTTCATATAGGATGTGGACTCTAACTAGAGGTTTGTTCGATTTGTCGGGCAATGTTTATTGCAATGTTTCTTGTGAAATTAATTCTAGAAAGAAAAATGATATACTAGTAAGTCTAGAATGAACAATTAACTAATTTTTTCTGTTAGAGAAAAAAAGAAAAACATTTGAAAAAGATGTCATTTTTCCACTTTTCTGATAGCGTAACCTCATTTCTAGCTACATAAATTTGCAGTATTCTACTGAAAAACCCATCTTATGATGCACCGACACTTCTCCTCAAAGAGGCGTGCAGTGTCTGATACCGTATCCGACACGATACTCGTCCGACACTCCTCCAACATGTGTTAGACACGCCGAAAACATGTCCGATTAAAAAATATTAAATACAAATTGGACACACGTATCTTAAATATTTTATGAAATTTTTTAAATATAATTTCTTGTATTTGCCAGGATTTAAACTAAATTTCTTATTTCCTATCCACAACAAATCAACGTCCGCACTTAATACCCAATCATCGAATATTCTCATTTTCATTTATTTTTGGCAGTGAAGGTATTTTCATCTCTTCTCTCGGTGACTGATAAACGACATCAACGCCTGACTCCCGGCATCCTAATATTAATCGTTTTACGCACAAATTATAGTTAAATGACTTATTATTTTCAAATTATTTTTAAAATTATACTTGTTGAATTTTATACACTATTTTTTAAATATAAAAACTATAATTCCATGTCCAACCCGTGTCCATATTTTCAATAACGGATGTGTTCTGTGTATGTGTCGTCTCGTATCCGTGCCGCCGTGTCCGTGTCTGTGCATCATAGAACCCATCTAAAGAATTGCTCCACATTGAAAAGGAACTATCTACGGTTTGGTCAGAAGGCCACAATTGGTTTAGCTTGATAAAAAGCACTGCATCATGCGGACAATTAAATGACAATAAGAAGTTGAAAGAACCGCCACTTTGACATTAGCTTCACCTTTGGCTTTGTATTCCATGTCTTTAAAATGATCTTACCGACTAGTCTGGATGCACCAATGTAAATCTGCATCTTTGCTTCATTCAGTTACGAGCATATCTACCAATCCTGCCACCTGGTAGTAAAATATAGCAGTACTATAACAGCACTTTTTTGTTTTACCTAAATCTCATCTGTCGTGTGATTTGCTTTCTTCAATTTATACTCAAGATCTGACGTGTTCTTTGCGCATATCTTCTATATTTTCCATTTTCCGGGAAGATTTAGGCTTCGAGTGGGATGTCTTTTTTATTGAGTCTTAAAGCAGCTTTTTAATATAAAATTTAATTTTTTACTTAAAAACTGTGTTAAGAAGCAGCAAAAAAACCGTCCCAAATGAAGCCTTAAGCTGCCCTATCCACTTCTTTTTATGTATATAGTGAATTTGTTGATGATTAGGTTTATGATATTGAGCAGGTGTAAGTGTGAAGTATTGCAATTGCTTCTATAATTTATTGTTAACTGTGATTCAAACTAGAACGGCTGTAACGATTTCTTCTTTCCAGGACAAGCAAGAAGTTGTCATTGAAAAGATTGTTCGGAATAAGCGCAAGAGTATAACTGTGGTGAAAGGCTTGGATCTATTTGGTGAGTGTTCTATGCTCATTCTTAACCTTTTTTTTTTTGAAACCCATCCATTGAACTGGTTTGGCTAGTTGGCCATAGATTGACTGATCTAATCAAAGGTTTATGAATAATGGCATTATAACTATACTACATATGTAAATATGCAAATATGTTAATTGTGTATTTAAACACTCTAAAATCTTAAATGTTTAATAATAATATCTTCCTAACTATATATTTAAACATTATAAGACCCTAAACATTGCTTGTGTTAGATTTAGTTCTTTGCTATTACCGGCGGAGATGCAACTCTGTTTGACCAACTAATTAACGTCACAATTTTTTGCCAATTTCGACTGGTTTAATTGGGTTGATAAGCATTCTGTAATTTCAATCAAGTCAAGCTGATCTGACAACCAATTCCTGGTTTAACCAGTTTGGTTTGAGCAACTAATTCTTAGCTTATTTGGAAGATTTGCCTTCTGAAATCTCTGGTGTAACCTTTCAAACTTCTCTTTGGTCAAATAGGTGTTAAATTAAGTGATGCATCGAAGAAACTTGGAAAGAAGTTTGCAACAGGAGCATCTATTGTTAAGGTAAACTTCCTTACGTTGTGGTTTTGCTATTATCTAAGCTTACAAAAAATAAAAATCTGGATGTTGGTTTGAAGGGTCCAACTGAGAAGGAACAAATTGATGTCCAAGGGGATATTTCATATGATATAGTAGAATTCATCACAGAAACTTGGCGAGAGGTGATTTATCATTCCTTGAATAACAAGCATAACATAGAAGAGAATTTGAATTTTCTACACCAGTCTTCTCCTTCTCTATGTATCAGGTGCCAGAGTCTGCAATTTTCTTCATTGAAGACGGAAGGAAGGTTCCTGCTGCTTGATCTGTCACCGCTGGAATCTAACTACAAGGTAGAATACTGCTCCAGAAAATATCCTAATCCACTCCCAAAAAAAAAAAAAAAAAAATGTTCCTGTAAAAAAAAAAAAAAAAAAAACTGTTCCTGTGCTAAAATTTATAATATCATATGCAGAGTTGTATGATTTTGTGCTTTGTAACGTGCTTTTTTGGTATTTCATGTTGCACCAAACAGCCAGAAATTAGTAGTTTTTTTTTTGTGAAGAAGTTATTTATGTACTTTATTTAGCTCCAGATTTGTATTCAACTGATCTAAATATGAGTTGCAGAATTCCTTTTGAGTTTATTTTGCTTTACCATGATTTTTTTCTTGTGAGGGGCAATTCGTCCAAAATATACTATGCATGATCAGGCTTTTGCTTTCGGAGCTCCCCTTTAACAGTTTTTGGTGGAGACGAGACGTAGAATGTTGTTCGGAGATCAATTTAAATGTCCCACATTAGCAGTATCGAGTAAGAGGTGACGAGACGCGTTAATCATTTTTCTTTTGGTGGCGGTGGGAGAATAGCAAAAGGCCAACGGTGGGATAAAAGTTCTTGAGCTAATTTTAGTCGTTGGATTTATGTTAGGAAAGTTAGTTAAAATTTTAATAGGTTATATTTATCTCATAATAAATTTAATGATGTTGAGATCAATCAAGTTTTTTTATGAAGATATTTTGCGTTGTTGTGTCCAAAAAGCTTAGTCCTGAAAGCTAAAAAATGAGTTTTGTAAGCTTAGAAAATTGAGGTTTGTGAAGACACTGAACAAAAAAGTTTTAGAACTTTTAAAGAGAAATATTCAAATGAACCGGTAGTACTATAGGCCAATGGAGAATCGGTTCCGTTTCCTTTAAAATCAGCCAATTCAATTTCTAAAACATTTATGAAATTATTTAATATATTAAATAAGCTAATTTGATATACTAAGAATAAAATAATATATAATTATAGGTATAAATTATATCTAAAAATATAAGGTAAATTAATAATAATTTATATTAATTTATAAATTTATATGGAAGTTAAATTTTTGTTAAATTTATATTAAATTTAAAAATTGAATGTGCCTAAATTCATTTTTTAATAAAAAAAATTTTATTATTAATTGATTATTCTATCATTTAAATTTTATTTAAATAGTTTACATATTTATTATGTCATCCGGCTCAATCCCGATTGAACCCTAATTAAACCATTGAACTCTGAACCTGTTGGTCTGATTCTATCTCATGTCCAATTTTCACAGTCTTGCTATCACAAAATATCCCTTTCTTTTGGTATAAAGTTTGTCGTTTTTAATTTATTAATGTATTTTATAATTGTTTTATCAAATAAGTTTATCGAGCATACAGTTCAAAATGCAAATTGAAAAATTACGTATTTGTTTTATTTATACAGTTATGTAAAAATAGTGCAGTAGAATACTAAAGTTTTGTTTGGAATAAATTTTTGTAACTATTTTTCTATTCTTTTTAAGAAATTTAAAAAGTTGCTATAAAAATAGTTAAAATTTGTCCTAAATGAAGCCTTTTATTATTTTATTGTTTTATTATTTTTATTTTTTTGTCCCAAAAGAAACCTAAATAGTTTTGCCAAAGCGGATAGGGTAAGTTAGAATGGTTTTTCCTGGGAACTATATTTTCTTTCTCATGCCCAAACTTCATCGATGTAATTGAGAAGTATTGGTTTTTTATATTATATACGGTGTCTTTTATATTGTTGCGGGCTAGAATATACGCAATGATAGAGTTAGCAAAAATTTTTGTCTTAGCCTTATACGAAAATCCAACACATAAACAAAATAAAAAAGGAACATCATATTTTTTTACGTAGAAACCCTGAAAAAGGGAAAAACCACGGGATCATGCCCAGTTGAAAGAATTTCACTAGTGATTGCTTAGATTACAAGTGAATGACTCGTCCGTGAAATTGAGGACAATCATATTACAATAATCAACCCTCGGGTTGAAATTCAGTTACAAACAGAGGTAAGAAATTTGACGACGTTTGGTGGTCGGGTGAAATCCAGATCCAATTGACGATCGAACAAAAATCTGGCGTTAGTCGGCTGTCATGTAGAAATCTGGCGTTAGTCGGCTGTCAGGCTAAACTTTGGCATTAGTCAGTCGTCCGGCAGAACTCCGACGTTAGTTGGCGAATGGGCAAAAACTTCGGCGTAGGTTGGCTATCGGGTGGAAGTTCGACGGTGGTTGAGTCCAGTGGCAATAAAGCTCTCGTCCTTCTATTGTCTTATTCTCTTCTCTCTTTTTTTGTCTTATTTATTCATTATCTTCTCTTCTCTTCTTCTCTTCTCTTCTTCCTTATCTTCTTTTCTCGCTTGGATCCCATCCCATGAGAAATGATGGTCTATTTATAGTTTTCTGAGAGTGACAAGGCCATAAAAAAGAGGAATATCAAGGGAAAATTGAGAGTAGTTTGAATGGACAGTCAATGTTGAATCCCTTGATCATGGATCATTTATTGAGCATTTGAATGTTTTAATGATATCAGAATTCGACGATCTTGGGCTCGTTGGATTCATCTCATTGAGCCACTCGATTCGACTATAAGCACACCCCATTTGGAAACTGTTTGATAATCCAAATTATGGTTTGTACCTTCCAAATGCGCTTCATGTCTTTTATTTGGGCCAATTTGAGCTCGGATTGGTTGAATTGGTGTCGTTGGGTTCGTATTTTTGAGACCTTCAGTTCAACTATATGTTTGTTGAAATCAGAGTTCATATAATTTCTGATTTAATTTTTGAAATTTCCAACTTGATTTTTCCTTGAGATTCGTGCCCGGTCAATATAATTTTTTGATATGTGTGTGTGTAAAAGTATAATACATTAGACTTCGTTTGAGACGACTTTTTTTATTACTTTTTAAAATAAAGTTTTAGTACAAAATTTAATTTTTGTAATAAAACTTTATTTAAGAAACAATAAAAAAGTCGTTCCAAATGAAGCCTTAGTTGATCAAGATTAATAGATTATGAAGATTAGATCATGCAATGCAATGAACAACAAAATGGAATCGAACAAGTTAAGAAATGTTTGGAGATCCACGCCATTTTTAAGGCAATTGAGTAAAGTGTCTACTGGACAAAGATGAAATACAGTAAAAAAGAAATTTATAGTTGAGATGAAAGTACATTAAAGTAATTACATTAAGAATGAAGAAGAAGAAGACTCAAATCATCTTGGTTTATTGGTTGGGAGTTTTTGTTACTAACTAAAATATCTTGAGTTTGAATATTGCGTACGTGATGTGTGTGAGAGTTTGCATTAATTGACCTAAATGCCCCCAAAAAGGAAGAAGAAAATATCAAAACTGAAGTATTTTGACTTAATACTAAAGATTCAATGAAAATTTTTAATGAATCAAATTCAAGTGCTCGCACAGATAAATTATACTAAACACCTTAATCCTCTTTCCTACAAAATAGGGGTGTAAATCATTCAAGCCGAGTTCTAATTATTCATGATTTGAGCATGAGTCTAATTAATTAAGTTTGAATTTGAGCTCAAGCTTTATTCTACAAGTTCAAATTGGATCGTTTATTATAAAAGAAATAAATTAAGTATGATCTAAACAATTATTATAGTAAAATGGTAAAAATGATGTGAGATTTGATCCATCCTCAAAAAATTATACTGATCATGCACCAATCTCGAGGAAAAATCAAGTTGGAAACTTTCGAAATTAAAACTGGGACCATCTGAACTTCGATTTCAGCAAACTTATAGTCAAACTAAATGTATTAGAATTATGAACCCAACGACACCAAATTCGACTCAATCAGAGCCCAAATGGGTCCAAATCAAGGATCCAAAGCGTTGTTGGAAGGTTCAAATCATAATTTGGATTACTAAAAGGTTTCCAAATATGACATGCTTATAGTCGAATCGAGCGGCTCGACGAGACGAATCCAACGAGCATAAGATTATGGTATTCCGACATCATCAAGAGCATCAAATGTCTAGCGAATGGTCTACGATCAAGGGATTCAATATCCATCATCCATTCAAACCCTCCCCATTTGCCCTTGATTCTCCTCCTATTTACGGGCCATGACACTCTAGGAAATCTATAAATAGACCCCTCCTCCCTCTTGAAAGGAGGCTCCAAGCAAGAAAGAAAGAGAGAGATCGGAGATCACTCTTGCTTCCTCTCTCCTCCTCGACCACCACATGGAGTTTCATCGAACCACAACTTGAGGCCCTAAGTTCCGCTGGACCACCACTTGAGGCCCGTAGTTCGGCCGGACCACCACTTGAGGCCCTGAGCCCCCTAAACCACCACTTGAGGCCCTGTGTTTTGTCGGACCACCACTTGAGGTCATGAGTTCCGCCGAACCACCACTTGAGGCCCTGAGCTCCGCTGGACCACCACTTGAGGCCCTGAGTTCCGCCGGAATACCACTTGAGGCCCTGAGTTCATTCGGACCATCACTTGACACCCAAAGTTCTTCCGGACCACCACCTAAGGCTCAGACTTCTGCCGGGCCACTACCTGATGCCCAGAGTTTTATCAGAGTATCGCCCTACTACTACGGTCTTTCAGACCCTTGTCTCTTGCTGACTACGGTCCTTCCAACCTCCATCACCTACTACGATCCTTCCGACCTCCATCACCAAACAACCATCTTTCTGACCCTAGTCTCCTACTAACTACGGTTTTTCAGACCCTTATCTTCTGCCAACTATGGTCCTTCCAACCTTCGTCGCCTACTACGATTCTTTCAACCTCCATCGCCAAACAATGGTCTTTCTAAACTTGGTCTCTTGCCTACTACAATCTTTCTAACCTCTATCTTATCGACTATGGTCATGCCGACCAAAAAAATAGGTCTATGTTGATTATTTTAACTCCCACCATATAATGCACTTTACATGATGTACATTTGTGACATCAAATTAAGGCCTTCTCCCAAGGAAGGACCTCATTTGTAATCGATTACAAATACTAATGGATTCATTCAAAGTAGGTTTCCATATAAAAATTTTGGTGTCTCTTATAAATGATACACTCTATCTCTTTTATTTGTGTGCGTGATGAATCTTCGTATAACGCTAAGACATTAAACTTTATATTTCTCTACCAGCGTGAATACTCCAGGATGCAACAGTTTGTCGCCATCTATAGGGACGTCATTCCTGACTGGATTGAAACTATTGCTCCTAATCACAAAAGATTGCTCAAGTCAACATCCTGATATTAGCCATTGCTGCATCAATTTCATATGAATCAGATGTGGACTGAGGGCAACTTTGTTTCCAATCATGATCAAGAAGATCCCTCCAATACTTTTAAAATTAGGATGATATATTAAAAAACTCCCAGCAAATGCAAGAATGCTTCAAATAAATTTCAAGCCACATACAGTCACTAGCTAGACTTCTACTATTTGGGAAGGGTCTTTATCTCGACCTTAAAAAAGTAATAACGATCCAAAGACTGACCATTCTTCTCCCTTTAATCTGGATACATGCGATATTTGGCCCTCCCAATCAAGGAAAAAATTAACCCCAGGTGGATTTGATTTGACATCTTTCATATAGGTTAACGTCATCGAGTAGGGCTCTGACATATAATCTCGGATAGGTCAAACATCCTAAAAGGATGTCAATCAAATCATTAATCCATGATTCAAAAAATACATAATCTTGTCTCAATCACTGGATGATCGATCCAAGGGGGATTTGATTTGACTTCTTCCACACAAGTTAACGTCATCGAGTAATGATATGGCATACAACCTCAGATAGGTCATACATCATTGATGAATTCTATCGACCTATTCCAAAAATGTTAACGTTATCAAGCAAATACTCTGACATACAACATCGGATAGGTCATACATCCTTAGTGGATTATCTTATTCTCGTTCATATAGGTTAACGTCATCGAGTAAGGGTTTTGACATACAACCTCAGATAGATCATACATCATTAGAGGATTCTCTCGACCTCTTTCATATAGTCATCGAGTAAAGGCTCTGACATATAATCTCGAATATGTCATATATCTTTGGTGGATTCTCTCAACCTCTTCTATATAGGTTACTGTCAACGAGTAAAGGCTCTGACATACAATCTCAGATAGGTCATACATCCTTGGAAGATCTTCTCAACCTCTTTTATATAGGTTAATGTAGCTAGAATGTTGTCAAACTTTTGTTGGACTTCTATTTGATGCCAAATTTCTACCCGTTGTCGGGCCTCTGCCAGTCGCCAAACTTCTACCTGTCAATAGACTTTCGTCGGTCTTCTAACCCACGCCGTATTTTTACCCGACACTGAAATTTCACTCGTCGTCGGACTTCAGCCCATTATCAGACTTCTACCTGTCGACGAACATTCATCGAACTTTTACCCGACGCCAAACTTTTGCCCGTCGATGGACTTTCATCGGACTCCTACATGTCGATGGACTTTCGTCAGACTTCTACCTAACGTCATACTTCTACTTTATGATGAAATTCCACCCGTCGTCATACTTTTGTCCGTCAACAATCTTTCATCGAATTTTTACCCAATGCTGGACTTTTTCCCGTTGACATACTTTCGTTGGACTCCTGCCTGTTGATGGACTTTCGTCGGACTTCTATTTGATGTCGTACTTCTACCTAACGTCAAATTTGTACCCGTCATAGGACTTCTACCAGTCGCCGGACTTTAGTCAGACTCCTACCCAACGCCAAATTTCTACCAGTCGCTAGACTTCTGTCCGTCGTCAGACTTTCGCCAGACTTTAACCCGACACCGTACTTCTACACAACATCGGACTTATGCCCATCATTGGACTTTCATTGAGCTCTACCCGACACTGAATTTTTACCAGATGCTGGACTTTTACACGTCACCGAACATTCGTCAAGCTTCTACCATATGTTGAATTTTTACCCGACACTGAACTTCTTCATGTTAATAGACTTTCGTCAGTCTTCTACCCGACGTCGTACTTCTACCCGACGCCAAAATTCCACCTGTTGTTTAACTTCTACCTGTCGTCGGACTTCAACCTCAGGCTATTTGTAATTGAAGTAGGTGATGTTAAAAAAAAAATTCTTAACCACTAGCGATTAGCCATCCAAACCACTCGTCATTTGCCTTTGATCCTCCTATTTATGGGAACTCTAGGAAATCTATAAATAGACACCTCCTCCCTCTTAAAAGAAGACTCCAAGCAAGAGAGCAAAAGAGAGATCGAAGATCGCTCTTGCCTCCTCGCTCCTCCTTGACCACCGCCTGAAGTTTCGCCAGACCACCACTTGAGGCCCTGAGTTCCGTCGAACCACCACTTGAGGCCCTGAGTTCCGCCAGACCACCACTTGAGACCCGGAGCTTCGCTGGACCACTACTTGAGGCCATGAGTTCCGCTGGACCACCACTTGAGGCTCTAAGCTCCACCGGACCATGACTTGAGGCCATGAGTTTCGCCAGACCACCACTTTAGGCCCGGAGTTCTATCAGACCACCACTTGAGACCTTGAGTTATGCCGGATCACTACTTGACGCCCGAAATTTTGCTGAACCACCACGTGAGGCCCGGACTTCTGCTGGGCCACCACTTAATACCCAGAGTTTTACAGGAGTACCGCCCTACTACTACGGTCTTTCGGACCCCTATCTCCTGCCGACTACAGTTCTTCCGACCTCCATCACCAGATAACGATCTTTCTGACCATGGTCTCCTGCCAACTACAGTCTTTCAGACCTCTATTTCTTGCCGACTATGATTCTTCCAACCTCCGTCTCCTACTACGTTCCTTCCGACCTCCATTGCCAAACAACAGTCTATCTGACTCCAAACTCCTGCCTACTTCAATCTTTCCGACCTCTATCATATCGATTATGGTCATACCGAGCAAACCAACATGTCTATGTTTATTATTGTAACTCCCACCTTGTAATGCACTCTATATAATGTACATTTGTGACATCAAGCCAATGCCTTCTCTCAAGGAAGGGCCTCATTTGTAACTGACTGCAAATACTAGCGGATTCATTTTAATTGGGCCAGATCCCTTAGTTTTTCCCTCTTTTCATGAGTTTCCACATAAAAATCTTGATGTCTCTTATAAATGATGCACTATCTCTTTTATTTGTGTGCATATTGGATCTTCGTACAATGCTAAGACGTTAAACTTTATATTTCTCTACCGTCGCGAATACTCTAGGGAGCAACACGATTATATTTATAACAAAAAAAATAAACAATCACTTTATATAAGAAATTAAAAATCTAAATTTCAAATATTTTTAACAAATTTATAATTAAAATCCTAAATAATAATATGTTTTAAGTGAATTTTATATTAATATATTCTAATAAGTTAGCTCACCATATGACAAGTCAAGTCAAAAATAGCTCAAATATAATTCGTTAGTTTATCGAGCTTGACTGACGAGCCAACCGAACCGTCCCCTGAGCAAACCCAACGAGCCGGCCCGAACCTGACTCACGTGCCAACTTGGCTAAGTTGCACTCCTGCAAACCAGTGCTTTAACATACCGCAGTATACTGTACAACAAAAAAAAAAAAGTAAAGAGTTGCACGATCTGCAAAGAACAGAATCATTGATCCTTGAGGCCTGTAAAGCAGGATCCTGGCCAGTTGTACACGGACAGTTGGCCGTTGCCACTGTGGCGACAGCTACTTACCCATAATAAAAAAAATATCACTTTTGATCCATTTAAAAATTATATCATACCATCTAAATATCCAATATTTAAAATTTTAAATGTATTTATATAATTTCATAATGTTTAAATTAGCTATGATTAATTTTTCATTACTAATAAAAAATACAAAAAATTAATGAAATACTTTATCTTCAAAAATAAAAAACGATATCCAATTTCTCCGTAAAGCCTGCCCTCCAATGGGCAATGGAAAGCTCCAATATACCAAAACAAGACGAAGTTCATGTAGAATAAATCTGCTTAAATCCTAAAACAGAGCTAAAAATTTAAAAAAGCGACCGCTGGAAATGAAATCAGAAAGGAAATTGAGATATATTTTCATATATCGTCGAATTTGTTTGACTAATTCGGGTCCTCAGCCGACCGTCGCTTTGTACCTGACGATGGATTCGAGTCGCTGTAGCTTCAGCTGCTGTCGGAATCGGTTAATGAAGTCGTCGGCACGAGAATCGACTTCCGTGTCTTCATCTCCGACGATGCTATCAGCGTGCTGGAAGATCTCTGCCTCCTCGAAATGTTCGAAATCGGGCTTTTCGCCGGCGGGTTTCTTCATCGGTTCCGCTAGGTTTGTGTCGATCTCCCCCAACTTGCGGCTCCGGCTGAGATGGTGCTGGATCTCGTCATTCAGCGTCGGATCTGGTTCATTGGGGTCTGTTGCCGGTGCAGGAGGAAGGAGAGAGGTCTGAATCTGATCGAGAGGATTTTCAGTTGGGAGATGGAGGCGGTCCAGGTGGATGTTGAAGGAGCGGATGCGGTGGAGGAAGGCAGAGGAAGAGCGGGAGAGCTTGGCGCCGACGCTTTCATTTGCAGCGGCCGGAGCGTTGGGATCGCCGTCTCCGCGGCGGGAGGCCTTGGAGGTGACGGCGATCGTGCCAATGACAACGTTGAGGAGGACGAAGAGGACGGTCGGGGTGAGCCAGGTGTGGAAAGAGGCTAAGAAGGAAGGGATCGCTTCTTCAAGCATTTTTCTTTGGGGGGTGGGCTTCCAGATTTGGGGGAAGATACACGAACAAGGCGAATGGGGACAGAGAGCGTGCTGTAAGGGAGTCTATGTGCTGAGATGGGCGGCGTGGGCGAGTAAGGTCGTTACAATGAGGCAGTAATGAGGACACAGTAACCGGTGGTGGTGGGTCTTTTATTTTTCCCCTATTTTTTAACCGGTGAGCACAACTATTAACAGCTCATTCATAAATATTATTATTTTTTAACAATTAAGTTAATTAAGATAAATCTATACACACATTATATACAAAAATTTATATTCATAATCTCTTGATTTTTATTTTTTTTGGGAACATGGATATCTACCCGCTGCCATTTCACAAGGAGAATTTTACAGTGTAATTAATCCCTCGGCGGAACCTAGTGAGGCCACCCACCGGCATTAGGTCCATACTTGCTTTGCCCCACTAAAGAGGCGAGGTCGTAGTAGAGGGGATTCGAACCTGGGATGGGGGATTCCCAACCATAGTCGCCCACCAACCACCATAAACCTCGGTGGGTAGAATCTCTTAGTTGATAATCTATGCTTCTAACCATAAAATCAATCTGAGCTGCATTCATTCATAAATATAAATATAGATAAAATTGGTAATATGCAAGGCAGCCTGATCTATTAATTTAAAATTTGAGCTAAGTTTGTTGTGACTGGCTATGACTTTCATGATATTCAATAAGATACATCAGGGTCATCTAATTAATCCAAAATAATTTAAATGACAAGAGAACATTCAAAATTTCATCTTCGAAAGAATCATATATAAATAATCTAGTACAATTACATTATATACATCAAAATAAAAAATTGGATTATAAAAATCACTTAGTAAAAGTCTTCTAACAGATTTAGGGGTGTCAATTATTGACACGACCCGACAACCTGGCCCAAACCCGATCCAACAAATTCGGGCTAGGGTCAACCTGTTTAAGAAATGGGTCGGGTTTGATTTTCAAATTTTGACTAGTTTCAAAAAACGGGTAGTATCCGGGTTAACTCGACAACCCGAAATTGATCCGTTTAAGACCCAGATGCGCTCAAATATGACCCGAGATAGGCATTTTGCTCGTCATGTTTTAATTTTTCCTGTGTGTGGGACGGTGGGAGGGGAAACGAGGGATTGATCCGATTGAACATCGATCATGTTGTGTGGGTCATGTGGGACAGGAACTTTTATTCGGTCCGGTGAACGTACGCTCCTCTATGTTCGGCCACCAATATTTTAGCGCCACGTAGCATGAAGAAAAGTCGCCGACCCGACCCGCTGTTTTTTTGGTTCTCGCACGTGCGTTTTTTTAAATCCTTGACGAGTCGAACAACATCCCATCACCTTTTGGATATATTTCAAATACCTAGCAATACCGAGCAAATACCAAGTTGTACCTAGTTTTTTCTATAAATACCGAGCAAATAACTAGCAATACTGAGCAAATCACTAGCAATACCGAGCAAATACCTAGCAATACCGAGCAAATACTGATTTGTACCGAGTTGTACCCTAGCAATACCGAGCAAAACCTAGCAATACCGAGCAAATCCCTAGCAATACCGAACAAATCCTAAGCAAATACTGAGTTGTACCGAGTTGTAAAAAACTCGGTACAACTCGATATTTGCATGGTATTGGTCTTCACATAGCGGTATTTCTCATTTTTGCAAAGAATTACCTAGCAAATACCGACCAATACCGAGAAAATCGCGAACATAGCATTCCCGGGTTCCGCTCCAGGTCAAGTCGTCAGGCCACGCGGTTTAGAACAAGAGCACGTGGCGACATGTTATTGGCGGCCGAACGTAGCTCTACGTCCGGTCAGAGGACGTAATAATTGTTCGTGGGACAGTGGGAGGGAATCAAGGCCTCAACTTGTAAAGTCCATTTTTCCTCCCAGGTTCGTCCGGACAAAATTGTATCGTCCGGGACGATCAGTACAGATTGTGAAGAAAATTTCTGACTTAATGGTTCGTCCCAGGACAAAACCTGGATCGTCTGGACGAAATTCGTTCAGAGCCCAAATCGTCCCGGGAGCTATTTAATTTCGTTTGGACGAAATTCGTCCAAAGCCCAAATCGTCCGGACGAAGTTGTGATCGTCCGGGACGATCCGTCTGAATATATATAGGATTGAGATCTTTTTGGAAAAAGAAAAAACGTCTAGGAGAGAGAAAAACAAAGGAAAAGAGGATTTTTGGGCGACTCTGGTCCGTTTTCATCCGTTGCTGTAGTTAGAGAGTTGACCGACTCGAGGTAAGGCACATTCCGCCTTTCTCAATTTTCAGAAACATGGATTTTAACAACTTTTCTGTTCTGGATTTTGTTTCCGTTAGCGAATTTTGTGTGTTATTTTCTACTGCTTCAGGTTTTACCGCGTAACTTTTGGTATATTTTTCAGATGATAATTGTGCACGTTTTGAGTATTTTCTAGAAGATTTTTACGAGATATTTTGGATTCCGCGGTGTTTTAATTGAACTGCAAATTATCAGGATGTTGAAAAATGTTATGTCAGTACAGTAAAAGTCTTATAATGTTGTTGTGGATATTCTGTGGTAATTTGGTAAATTTCTGAATCTGTGAATTTTGTGTAAATTCCGTATACTGCCATTATGCCGCTGAAATTTCGTACTAATTCTGATTTTTCTGAATTGATACAGTGAATGAATTGAAGTGTTTGTATGCTATCAGAAGGGAGCTATAAGGGGCCAGGATCCTTTGAGATTCTGTCTGTGTCAGAGAAATCTGAAATGAGCTCTAAAATATGAAAATAAGTTCTCTTCCGGAATTCCGAATATCTGTTCTGTTCTGTTCTGGTGCTATAAGCACAAAGGGAGGTATAAGGGGTCAGAATCCGTTGAGATTCTGTCAGTGTCTGGAAAGGGATGCATAAGGGGCCAGAATCCGTTGAGATTCTGTCAGGGTCAGGGAATCTGATGTTTGATATCTGATAATCTGTTCTGTGACTTATCTGGTTTATTTTATGAATTATCCGATATATGATTTCTGATTTATGTACGATTCTGGTTATTCCGTACGATTCTGTCTGCTCTGTGACATGAAAGCTTTATGATATCTGTTCTGAACTCTGATTTGAAATGACTTCGATTTTCCGTATCCGATGTTTGATTTCTGATTGAGCTGTTATCTGTTCTGTCTGTCAGACGATTCCGGTACGATTGTTAGAATTCTGTACGGATACTTTTCTGATATGTTTTCTGATGTGAGTTTCTGATTATTTTGATTGGTAATTGATGTCTTGCTGAAATGTTAGCTCATACTTGTTTTCTGCGTGGTTTTCAGATTCTGGGAAAGGGAAGGAGGTCTTGGACTTGACGTTCTGAGTCTGATCTGTGATTAGGTACTTGATACTTTTGATTTTTGTGCAGTCATGACTTTTCTGTTCTGTTCTTTCTGTTTGAAGCCATGGACTGTATTGTATATGACTATTTTGAGGAAAGAAAATATAGATGAATCGTTCTGCATTTGGATGTTTATAGTAGCTCTGTGTTTTTCTGTCTGTTTAATACTTGGAAGAAAGTCTGAAACAAATTTCAAAGCTAGATCCTGGATTTTCGATAGTTCCGTCGCGACCCGATGCGAGCGGGATCCGTCCCGGTCGGGTTGGGTCGTGACACAACTCCTAAGGGATTGGACGTCGTCTGGTCCACCTGGCCAGCCGTTCTCATCGAGCCAGCCGTCGCAGGTTCGCTCCCGACTCCTCCGCGGGACCGCGAGTTCGCGGTCACTCCGTCGAGATGGAGACGTCGACGTCATCGAGTCGTTTGCACCGCTAGTCCGCTCCTCTGTCGGTCACTCGGTCCGCTCTTAGCCTCCTACACATAAGTCTGCAACCGGCTCCTCCACGAGTCCCTACGCGGCTCGCGTGACTCAACACGTGGAATTGCGGAGGGGAAATTTAGATCTATTCGGGTTCATGGGTCGGGTCGGATAAATCCGGTAACCCATGCGGGTTGAGTCCGAACCCCACCCGTTGACCCGAATTGACACCCCTAAACAGATCTGTATTCTACGATTTCACTCTGCTAGACTATTTCTTTCCTAAAACATTAGAAGTCAGCAACGTCAGTATTTACAACTCAGTAGGTATACGCAAGTTCTATTACAAAATTTAATACCCATATATACACTTTAAAAATATAACGGTTTAAATATTAAATTCAAATAAACATAAAAACATAAATTTACTTTTTACAAACGTATACTTTTCTTGCATTTTCGGTTTCCAGAACAGAATGAAATATGCGGTTTCATTCACTTCTTCACAGAAGAATCAAAGTTTATTTGTATATGAATAATAAAGCATACTTATTTTCAAAGCATTCTTTTATAGTTAAACTTATTCTATTTATCATAATATCCTTTATATTAAACTTATTTCAATTAACATAATATGCAGTGATATGCAATGTGATATGCATGTCCCAGTGTTTGCTTATAACTCCACTTCCACTTATGCCTCCCACAATCAACTGCCACGAAGGGAAGGAGACAATCCCGAATCCTTAAAGTTATTCTAGAAAACAGTTTTAGAGTATAAAATTGTTTTGAAAGCAACAAAGAAACAATGGTCAAACAAAAGTTATAGTTGCGGTATGAAGAACAAAGTAATAAGAAAATTATCCCAAATCAAACCTTAGACTTTATAAACTATAAATCTACCACTATTCTTTCAATATCAATCAGTGAGGACTCAGAAGCTTATCAGAGCTGAAAAAGGCAAAGAAATGGTTACTTATCCTCATCCTTTGCAAAGTTTCAAGCTGAGCTATAAAGATGAGAAAGGCGAGACAGCCTTTTGTTGGGATAAAAAAGTTTGAGTTATAGTAAGAGTGGGTCTTTATTGAAGAACAAATTAACTTCAACAGCTTTTGATGTTCGTCCTACTTTGTTATTTTCTTAGTATCTATATGGTTATTTATAGAAGCCTAATGATGATCATATGTCAATTATTAGTTGATTTGTGTCATCTTTGGCATAATACCTTTTTTCAGTCAATTCTCACCAAAAGATAATCACCTCTTGAAAAACGAGTTCGATCAACTGACAAAAGACAAGTTAATCCAGCCCCCACCCCCCTTGCTCAAGTGGCTA